ACTGGGAATGCAGACTTATCCGTCTTTGGCACCAACTCGAGGAAAGTCAGTTTGAGTGTCACATGGAGACGTGTGGTGGCGCTGAAGTCGATACCTCGTGTGACCACCGTGGGCATCCAGAACTGCACGGCATCGCCTCGGCATCAAACGAATAAGTCTCAGAGTCTCGTGTTGCCCAATCGCAGCCCACTCTGCCTGTAGTGCCTGTGCGAGTTGCTGAAGTGCCTGGGGCTGAGGGTTACGGCGTCGCACCCGTCTGTCCAGGGCATCCCACAGATGTTCGATCGGGTTTAAGTCCGGTGATCTTGAGGGCCAGGGGAGCACATTGATGTTGTGGTTCTGGAGGAAGTCTCTAGTGTGACGTGCTATGTTGGGCCTGGCATTGTCCTGTTGAAACAACTCCCTCTGGCGATCAATGATTGGAAGGAGGTGTGGGCGTAGGATTTCGTCACAGTACCGTTGAGCTGTCACATTGCCCTGGATCATCACTAAATCACTTCTCCTACGGCAGGTGATCGCACCCCACATCATAACACTGCCCCGGCTGAATCTGTCCACCTGGGGAACGCAAGCGTCGACGGAAGGTTCACGTCGACGTCTGTACAACCGCATTATTCCATCGCGTCGTTCCAATAGAAATCGTGATTCAGCATTGAACCAGATTCTACGCCAATTCGGTAAGTTCCAGGCCTGAACGTTGGTGCACCATTGAACTCGATGTCGACGATGTTGTTGTCGAAGCACAGGATCAAAATAAGGTCTTCTGGCACGTGAACCAGCCTCTCTCAACCTGTTCCTGACGGTCTGTGCAGAGAGCCTCCTCAATCCGGATATTTCTAGAGCGGTACTGGTCGCCGTAGCTGTTCGATGACGCAAGTGATGTACCCTGATGTAGCGATCCTGCGCCGCAGTTGTCGCTCGAGGTCGCTCACTACGAGGGGCATCTGCTACCGCATTCTACCGGCGATATCTCTCCCAGAGCCGTGAAATGGTGCTTTGGTGAACATTCATGCGTCGGGCAACTGCACGTTGAGACTGGCCAGCTTCAAGCAAACCAATGGCGATATGACGGTTGGCTTCGCATAGACGTGGCATTTTGCGTTCGTCAACAATATTCCAAATACAGTGAAAAATTGACAGACAGCGATCAACCTTTTATACCCATCATTGAGACTATCTGATCCCCAACTTTCACGTGCATTGCATGTGAATTGTGTATTCTGTGACACTACACGCCGAAATTGAAAATCATGCTGTTAAATACGGGTATTTTACGGATGGTGCGTTTTGTTGTGATGTTTCAAAACATAAACAATATAGGACTCATAAACAGAGCAAAACCTTTTGTAAAATGAATCACGTTTTAATTCCTTGCTACATGCAATTTGCTATTTTCATGATGCGTTTCTTTTGTGGGAGAGTATATTTATAGAATTTACTGCGATTTTTCATTTCATATATTTTTACATGTCAAGAGTGATTTATTTTTTTACATATTTGGTCCTTCATAAAGTAAGCTGGTATATTTATCTTTCTTTTCTGAAATATGTGCATTTAAGAATATAATGAAACTCATCACCCACATCATACAACATAATTTACTATTTCTTTCAACTCTTGGTATCCTATTCCATTTTCCTTTTTCAAATGGTAAATGGTGGCATGAAGTTTCAAAAGAGAATATGTATGACTTTTGGGGATTTTTTTTGGGGGGAGGGGGGTGTAGGAGACTGTAAAAGCCATACATAACTTAAACCAATGTTATTAGAAATATTCTCTGTACATGAAATCCAGCTACAGCTGTGAATACCTTCATTACTAAGATTCTATACAATAGAATATAATTTCCTCATAAAACATATATGTTCATTTTCAGTTTGTTTTAAAATAGCATACCCCCAAATTTCACAACCGTACAGCAAGATTGGTTTCACCGTTGAATCAAAGAGATATAGTTGACATTGTATTGATAAGTTTAACATTTTGACTTCTGCATAAAACAAAATACATGGCTTTAGTAGCTGTTGGCAAAGATTTGATAAAGATAATTTGAAAAAAACATTTTCTATCAAAAATAGCTTCAAGATATTTATACACAGTAACAGTTTTCCTTAGGTGCAACTAACTGGTTGAAATATCCCACTGTGGCATTCCCATGTATATATGGGTGTTGCCCTAATTAATCTCTAGTCCAGCGTCTGACAATTGAGATGTCTAACTAATGGGATGTGTGACTAATGGGAGTAAACCTTTGGGTCATGTCATGTCATGCCCTTATGCGTGTCATGAACTGATAAGAATGGGTTTTTTCATTAGGTCACCTAGCAACCCACGTATGAGGTCACGTGAGAGGGATTAAAAACTCATTAATCACACTCATCAAATGAAGTAGGTCACCTCTCTCTTCCCCCCCCCCCTCCCCCTCCCCCTTCTTCAACATGTGGGGCAAAACAGGCTCAGCTTTTGGCGAACCTCTGGTATCATCAATAGGTGGTGGTAATGATTCAAAACCACATACCCGTAATGCAGTCAGAATTGTACAATCGGCTTTGCTTTTACTAAAGGAACGATTTCTTATTGTAATGGAAAGTGTTTTACCGCTTGTATTTTCTGCACACATGAATAGGCTTCGTAGAGAAACGTTACTGAAACATTTGCAAGAAAGCATATCCTTACCTTATTGGATTTTGTAGTCATTTCGACCATTTTACAACTCATCATCGCGAGTTCTCTCCTCGAATTGTTCAGTATCTCCGACAGCTTATTCCTCTGTTTTCTTAACTGGTCAGCTGCCCTGAGACCATCTTGGACTACTGACCGTTCCTTTGCAGCTGGCCCGTAATTGGTCATGTTAGCCATGAGAATCCTAGCGGTGACGAAACCGATGATGGCCAGTACTGAAAGTGCCACCGCTAGTTGGACCAAATGCTTTCGTTGCAACATGGCGGGTTTGTAGCTGGAATGAAACAAACATCGTTAAGGGCCGTTTTCCTCTGGATAATGCAATTATACATTTTTTGTGTCAAGTGCAGCGCCAAAGACAGCAATGTCACAAATATTTGTTGTTGTTGGTTTCTTGTTTAACGCCACACTCAGCAATATTCCAGCTATATGGCGGCGGTCTGGACAACACAACCCAGTGATCAACAGCATGAGCATCGATCTACGCAATTGGGATACGATGACATGTGACACTGATAACATTGCATGTTGCCTGCAGAGGAGAGTTTGTATGACCACCCGATCCCTTAAGTTGCCTCTGACGACAAGCATGGGTTCCTGAAGACCAATTCTAACCTGGATCTTCACGGGTCATATAACAAATAACCACAATACAACCCCTCCTACAATACAATGGCGGAAGCCTGTTTCTGGTGTCTACGCCCTGTTATTGCTGGAATGTTGTCAAAAGGATGCGTAAAACCACCCACTCAGTAACCAAGCTTGTCCTGATGTTCTTTTATGGTTTTCAACGTTCGACAGATATTTGAACATATTCAGAAGTCCCTTTTCACTTCTGATTGTGTGAGTGATGTTTAGTCTTTGTTATGCAAGAGGGTGATAATGAAATTGGTGTTCGGCCACTAAACCAAGTGGCGTAGGACCCTGCTGTCCGCCTATCTCATATATAACTCTTAATACTTTCATGCCAGGCAGTTTTGTTTTTTGTTTGACGCCGAAATCAGTAACATTTCAGCTATATGGTAATTATTTGAGCCTGGACCAGAAAGATCACCTCAAGAAAATGAGTGCATGACCCGCTGTTAGCAATATTCCAGCAATATCACGGTGGGGGACACCAGAAATTGTACCACGACACTGAAGAGATCTAATCTTGTCTCTAAAAGTTCCTTTACCGAGGATCATAGCCGGATCGATGATGGTTAAAGCATTTCTGGTAACATTCGTGATCAATTCGTGTTATCGAGTGAGTTTAGTTTTACGCCACATTTAGCTATATTCCAGCAATATCATGGCGAGGGACACCAGAAAAGGGCTTCACACAGTGTACCAATGTGGGGAATCGAACACGGGTCTTCGGATAGACGAGCGAACGCTTTAACCACTAGGCTACCCCACCGCCCCTCGTGTTACTGGGTGCATTTTCAACGAGGAACGTTTGTTGCACGAACACAAAAGATGACCTTGTTACCTCTTGTGTACCTGTCGTTTTTCATAGATCAACAAGCAGGTCATTCAATAGAGGCATGCACTTTCATTTTTCAAAGGTGTCGACTTATGACTCAACGCTGTCTCAGTCACAAAAAATGTGCCCCAGTCCACCCAGCTGTGAATTGGTACCTCGAAAGGTTGGGAAAGTCTTATGCGCCCAGTGGCTGCAAGAGTTTTACATGTATGGTCCCCAGGGAGTTGAGATTGATAATATGATGTGCCGCTGAAATTGATATCCAATGATCATGGGGAAAACAAAGAAACGCATTCAGCATGCATGTGGGATTGACTATAACGCTATATAAATGCCCATATAATAATAGAATAAGCGAAAGTAAACAACCAAAAATAGTATACACCCATTCTACACCCAGCAGTGGCTAAACATGGGGCAAATTGATATTCGGTGTCAGACGGTATCAGAGCTTTGTTTTTAACCTGAATGTTTTGGTAGCCAACCAACGTTAGTAATGTTTTGGTCGAATCCGATTTTCAGTGTAATATTTCTTTTGTCCGGCAATGTTTACAACAACTGCGCGAGCTTCATGTCCCAAAATAATCTGTGACTGGAGAATTCATGGAGAGTCCAAACATGATTTGGTGTACGGGATGTCTCCCAGTTGTCTGAACTTGCAGGTATAACCTTGATGCTATTAAATGTTAAGTGAATACGCTTCAAATATTAGCATAAAGGACCTCAAGAAACTTCAGACTGAAATATCTTCAGTGAAGTGAAATGTAAACGCAGTCATTCAATAAGATTAAAATTGAGTATTAATATCAATATTACCTTATATCCTCTAATATGCACCAGGCCTCTAATAAGCGCTGGGTACGTTATTTATAAATGTATTCTCCCTTCATCCAAAAATAGATTTAGTAAGGAACGGTCCGTTTAGTAATAATTTTCTGTTCTCCGCATGGCACGGGTTGATGGATATTATGTAATAAGCGCCGGATCTCCAATGAGCGCCGGGCCTCTAATAAGCGCCGGGACCTAGATTTTCGAAGCTCTCTTAGCGCTAAGATAGTCGTAAGTCAATGTTAATGTATGGCACTTATGACTATCCTAGCGCTTAGAGAGCTTCGAAAATCTAGGCCCGGGTTGTGGAAGTCCGTTGAAAAAATAAAAGCGCCCAAGCGCTTATTAGTGGAAATACCGTATATTGGTTTGAAAGTCATAGCTAGTTATAATTATATACTCTCCCAAAAAAGAAACGCATCGTGAAAATATCAATTGCATGTAGCAATGAATTAAAACGTGATTCATTGTACAAAAGGTTTTGCTCTGTTTATGAGGCCTATGGTGTTTATGTTTTGAAACATCACAACAAAACGCACCATCCGTAAAATACCCGTATTTAACAGCATGATTTTCAATTTCGGCGCGTAATGTCACAGAATACACAATTCACATGCAATGCACGTGAAAGTTGGGGATCAGATAGTCTCAATGATGGGTATAAAAGGTTGATCGCTGTCCGCCGATTATTCACCGACGCTTGCGTTCCCCAGGTGGACAGATTCGGCCGGGACAGTGTTATGATGTGGGGAGCGATCACCTGCCGCAGGAGAAGTGATTTGGTGATGATCCAGGGCAACCTTACAGCTCAACGGTAGACTTGATTTAAAGCATCACATAGTCTTTATACACGTACACATGGAATTGGACACCACGCACACGTAATACGTAATACGCATCACGCAATTACGCAGACAATACGTGCACATGGAAACCTAGCTTTACACAGTAAATAAATGCTTCGCTGTACATATTACTCACTGTAGTTTATCTCAGTTTAAGTATACACTAATTTGCATCAGGGTTTCAGATTCAAACTATTGGCCCAGTTACCACAAGCATCTCATGAAGAAAACAGCTGCTACAACCGCTCCTTGTACTAACCTCGTTTGAGCATCACAAGCTACTCCATACTCAGAGCATGGAAGGCTTGTGGCCCCCAAAGAGCATTACTTAAGCAGGGATCGTCCGGGTCATCGGACCCCAGGACCGGTATATCCCTCTCACGTACACAAGTCCTGGTCCCTAAGACCCCAGGCCATTTCAATCTTCCGGCCCGGGTCAACACGACCCCAGGGCCTCTCTCTACCCGGGTCACCACGACCCCAGGGTTACACAGTAGGCAATCGAGGCAACCCCATATTGTGCCATATATGTGTATGTAAATAAAGGTTTCCTGTCATGTACTACTTAGTAGTGTTGTGTTTTGCACCAATTGGCCCAGTTACCGCAAGCATCTCATGAAGAAAACAGCTGCTACACCCGCTCCTTGCTACAAAATATTGTTCTTTACGTTGCAGGGAATTCAATAACACAGTAACTTGTTTCGTACTTACTATTCGTCTTTGATACTGCAAATATTCATATCATGTACAGTATAATGTTATACACAGTTTCTTTAGATTTATTTCACACCCGTGAAGATCCAGGTTAGAATTGATCTTCAGCAACCCATGCTTGTCGTAAGAGACGACTAACGGCATCGGGTGGTCAAGCTCGCTGACTCGGTGGTTGCAATGCTTGATTTCCATGTGTATATAATAAATTAAAGGGGGCTCAACACACATAAACGATGTCGTTTAACAACAAACAAACAAATGATGACAAATACAGCCCAGCTTACCGCAATCGCATAATGTCCTCTCCGCGTTATCCTGACATATATTATCCGAAATGCAGATAAACAGATGTTGAAATCAGGAGACTGCTCTGTATTTGTAACTGAGTGTGTGTATATTTCAAGCAGGATGCAAGTGAGCTAACGTGGTTGTAACCTAACTATTATTAACAATATTCACAGGTGATATTGAACCAAATTCGGGACCAGTTCATTGTACAACAGGGAATGTTAAAATATGAATCCTAAGGTAAAAATGAACCCCTAAGCCATTAGTGAGTGGGTGAGTTTAGTTTTACGCTGCACTCACCAGCCTTATGGCGGCGGTCTGTAAATAATCGAGTCTGGACCAGACAATCCAGTCATCAACAGCATGAGCATCGATCTGCGCAATTGGGAACCGATGACATGTGTCAACCAAGTCAGCGGGCCTGACCACCCGATCCCGTTAGTCGCCTCTTACGACAAGCATGAGTTCTGAAGGCCAATATTCTAACCCGGACCTTCACCGGTTCCTAAGCCATTAGAGAATTACATCAGATTAGACTTGCAGTTTGCTCTTGAGTAATAATGGTTAGGCACGTTATGGAGACAGAAAGGCGTTTGACCGTAAGCTATTAAAGGTAAAGACAGAAGACATCCATCGTGAAAGACAGAACAGAGTAAGCTGACAAAATAACAATCAGCAAATCAGTGAAAAGGGGTGAGTCACCGAACGGTGCTACCCAATATTCTTCCGATCACGACACACAGGATTTCAAGGTCAGATCCAGTTTTAACGAACCAAAACGATGTGTTGGAACATGTGACTAAGCTCGAACCATTTTTTAAAAAAAAAGACATGTTTAACACAAGGAGAGCAATGTCGACATTTTCGGAAGCTAATCCACGTCACTCAGTTTCTCTGTGTGGTACATGGATACCCAGTCTTATGTTGAAGTTGTAGTGAGAGTGATGGACTGAGAGTCAACCTATGCGAGTATAGAACCTGGTGTTACGTTTATCTTCGAATGTATGTGTACACGAATGTAATGTTGTTACTTAGGAGTCGCGGTCGCCCGACCCCTCACTCCTACACTTAGCATCCTGCAACGGACCAAGCGAGTGGAGAGCTAGCATCTCCCCTGACAATGTGTAACGGCCATACTAAAGGTTTCTGAAATTAATCGAGTCTGGAAAAGACAATCCTGTGATTGACATCAGGAGCATCGATCTACTCAATTGGGATACGATGACGTATGTCAGCCAGCTCAGCGAGTCTGTCAAACCTCTGGCATGGGTTGCTGAAGACCAATTCTAACCCGGATCTTTACGGGTCTTTGTCCTAGTTAAAAGGGACAGGGATTGTTTAGGTGAACCATTAAGTTTTAAACACCGAACATATTTCCAAGAACACAAGCATGAAATAACGTGGTTTCAAATACAACTATATACTTCAAATGAATTTGTTACTGTGCTTTAAATATCGCCCATTTAACACCCGTGTATCATGTTGGAATTATTTTGATCACTCAACAAATGTGGTTCTCGATGGAAACCTAGACGATGATTTGTTGAAAATCATTGTCCACAACCAACACGATATATATACTCATGCGAATAATGGGTTGTCACCCCCTTCAAATTTTTTTATTGGAGAGGGGTGTGGGGTGTGGGTGGGGTTGGGGTGGGGAGGGGGAGGACAACCATTATTGGCTTGAGTATATATGCAAGTATAGATTAACGTAATGCCATTATACAGTTATCACATATATTGCACGAATATCGGCTCTCCGGGTTGGCGTCACCGCGACACCGCAGAAAACGTTTGAGACTTTAGCGGCGATATCTGTGACCACAAGAGTTTTTGTTTCTCTTTTAAGTTATATTTACTTAACTTGCAAGAGGTGTTTTACTATACAAGTAAAGTGATTACGAACCGGTGATTCTTTCCAAAACTGAGGAAACAGTTTTTAAGAACTGCACGTCGGTCAGCAAAGCTTGTAACGCGCTAACATTATCACTCGTACATTATGTAAAATAATGTGTTCCCTCCAAACGAGTTTGGCCAAGAGACAAGCCCTGGTTAAACAGCGAAATCCGACGAGCAGTCCATATTGGAGAAAGACTAGAAAAAAAGCAAAATTATACAAGAATCCAAATGACCTTATGGGGTACAAAAGCAAAGAGTGCGTGAGTATGGTTTTACAACGCCTTTGCAATAATCCAGCAATATCACGGGTACACATTGTACCCATGTGGGTAATCGAACCCGGGTCTTCGGCGTGACGAGCCAAAGTTGATGATGATAAACTAAAGTCTCATGCTGTATTACTGACCCGTCAACTGCTAGGATATGACATATATTAGTATAAATTATATAATCATGGTGACACAATTATCTTCTTCACTTACAGGTACTTTGGCAGTTATGAAAGAATGACAAATTATGATATTGAATTTTCTCTCCATTCTTAATGCCATAACGAAATATATCCATGAGCATTAATCTACAGAAGCCATTTTTTTTAAGATGAGTACTCCATTTTGTTGTGTATGCTTTGAAAACCGATAAGTGGTACAGAACAAAGCTGAAACTGAACCATGGTAACAAATTACTGCAATCTAAGACGATAACACAAAAAGGTGAACATAAACAATGCCGGAAGGTATGGTCACCATGACTACCCCACAATCATGATTGTTTTAAAACAATGCCTGATTGAATCGATTCCTAAAATAGGGTCAGCCGAATGTGATGTGACGTGACGTCACGCGTGAGCGGCCGCTCCGAGGCAAATCTCACGTGTTCCAATTATGTTACCATAGAGACGAGATCGTGTTTCGATGGACACCAAAATGTCTGGCTACTTCATTTTGGGCCATTTCAGTCTCCAGCATACCAACGGCGCGGAGACGCTGATTTTCGGTAAGCAGTACGCGCGGTTTACGTTGAAATTAACTGCTTTCCACAACATTCAGAGGCTAGAGAATATCGAACCGTTTTCCAATTTTCAATATCAGGTGTGTGAACTTCAGGTGTCAAAAAGCATACAAAAAGTGAGTAGGTTCGTTTGTGCACAATGTGCACGTGTGATAGTTACATCAAATTGCATGCAAATTGCGTTGTTACATGTCTATTTAGGGTTATATTTATAACTTTTCAAATAACGTTTATTTCATGCAATGTTATGTTATGCACAGTTATGCTCAAGATCCAAGATGGTGGATAGGCAAGACGTGTTGTAACGAGCTCCTGACAAGAGATAAGTCATCAACCTTACCCTGAAGTCAGCTGGCGTACCACACATGCATATACGCTATACACAGATTGTTTATTATGCCTACAACATCCACACCAGTCTCTGAAGGTAAAAAGAATAAGAAACAGAAAGAGAAAAAAGTCGTCGCCAAAAACTGACACGTTCGAGCCAGACTCGCAAGAAGCCGGCCATGGACACTGGGAACATATTGAGAGAATCCCTGAACACCCTGTATAACGTGGAACAGATTCAACACCCGGAGGTGCTCAATCCCTCACAAGGAAAAACACATTCAACAGGTCGGTCACATTCACGATCGATCGATGATTGTTTAGACTTGACTCGATAGACAGTAGGTTGAGAAAACTTGATATCATTGAAAAGGATGTGACCGATATCAACCTAAACGTCTCTAAACTGGAAACGAAAGTAAAAGAGATTTATACCCTGAAATCTAAGGTAGAATCTGTTGAGACGAGTGTTGGTTTCATCAGCGAGTGTCGGTTGACTGGAACAGGGATAAAGCATTGATTGAAAAGAAAATGAAAGATTTACAGGAAAAAGTTAATTTCACCACTGAACTTAAACATGAAAATGTGGAATTAAGAGAAAACCTGATTGACCAAAGATGTAGATCTATGCGCGACAATCTAATCTTTACAAACATCCCTGAAGAGCAGAATGAAACATGGGAACACAGTGAACGCATTCTTAGAAAGTTCATCAAGGATCATATGAAGCCAGAAAGTTCTGATTTGCATTTTAAGAGGGTGCACACGATCGGACAGAGGCGGTTTACCCCCCAGGGAGCTGGGGAGGCGAGACCCAGGCCACTTATCGCCAACTTTGTCTACACAAGGGAGCGTGATTCTGTGAAATACGCTGGTAAGGAACTTAAAGGCAAACCACATAGTGTTATGGAGCAGTTTCCTCCAGAAATTGCCCAATATAGACGAGATATACTTCTTCCTAAGCTGAAGGCAGCCAAGCGAAAAGGTAAGAGAGCCAACATAGTTGTTGACAAGCTCTATATTGACAGCAGACTTGTAGATACTCCTCACCCTCCCTACAGGGATGATGACGACGACGATGATGATGATGATGATGTGGATGATGGTGGTGATGATGACGATGATTCTAATAATTCAAATGACACTCTAAAAGTCCTCTCCTTAAATGTATGTGGACTGAAAAAACGCTTAGATTACACAGAATTACAAGAAATGATATCAAACAATGACATTGTAGGATTTCAAGAAACTAAAACTGATACATTAGACGATATTGATATCCCAGGTTATAAGCTATTTCTCCGAAACAGAAAGACATCATCAAGGAAATCTGGTGGTATTGTCGTTGCATTTAGACATAAATACGAAAAATATGTGACAGTCATTACAGAAGAATTTTGTGAATCCATATTATGGATAAAAATATGTAAATCCCTATTTGATGTTCAAGAAGATGTTTACTAAGGTATTGTATATATACCTCCTGAAAACTCAAAATATTTCACAAATGAGACATTTATTGACACTGAACATTCTCCACTTTATTTTAGCTCAATAAGTGAACATATTATTTTGATGGGAGTCTTCAATGCCAGAACTAAAGCAGCTTTGTGATTTTATTTTGTTCAGTGAACAAATATTGAAGGAAATGGATATGGATGTATATGATATTTATACTAATATTGAGCCTAATACACTATTAGAAGACCCCAATTTACCTCTGATAAGAGCAAGTGAAGATAAATCTAGATTAAATAATTCAGGGAATAAACTGATTGAAATATGTAGAAATTGTAACCTATTTATATGTAATGGTAGAATCGGTCATGACAAGTATATTGGTAGAAGAACATGTAAAGATGCTAGTGTTGTTGACTATGTAATATGCTCTGCATCATGCTTACATTTAATCATTGATTTGAATGTACTTGACTTTTCACCCTTGTATTAAGATGCACACTGTCATATAACATTTAGCATTTCCAGTAATATTTTGCAGGCTCAAACAACAGGTGTCCAACATAAAGTCAATAGGTCACATAACCCTCAACGTAGGCCAAGACGATATAACCGTGATAAATCCAAAGAATTCATTAAAAACTTAGACACCGCAAGGATAAACAACATAAATCACATTTAGCCAGGCTTGAGCAAGGTGACCCAGTCCTGGTGAGTGGCATCACAGATGAGGTCGCGCACGTGCTGACACAGGCTGCACGAGCAACTTTCGGAGTCCGAAGTCAGAGAGAAAGAAGCAAGAAAAATGTTAACAAATCTAAACCGTGGTTTAGTGTAGCGTGCCATAATGCTAGGAAAAGATTTAATAAAACCAAACGGCGATTGAAAAAAATTAATTCTGTTTATAACAAACGCGTTTATAGACTTGAATCTAAGAATTATAAAAAGATGAATTGTACAAAGAAGGATTAGATAAAGTGTTGAGAGAAAAACAGAAACATGATCCGAAAGAGTTTTGCAAAATTTTAAATGGTAATCAAAATAAAGAGGATGACAAACCAATGCAAACGATTGGTATAGAGGGCAAATTCCTGAATCTTGTCAAATCAATGTATAGCAATATCAAATCACTTGTACAATGTAATAATGATGTATCAAACTACTTCTCATGTAACAACGGCGTCAGACAAGGGGAAAATCTGTCACCTTTACTATTCTCCATTTTCATAAATGATATTGAAACTCATTTACTTACTTCAGACTGTAATGGTGTAAATCTAAACTATATTGAAGACGAAGATTTGGTGATATCTGTACAGTTGTTCATTTTATTATATGCAGGTGATACAATATTATTTGATGAATCATCAAAGGGACTACAAGATGCTTTGAACTCATTTGAGGACTATTGCGATTCATGGAAGCTAAACATACGGCTGCACAAAACGAAACTACACCTGATATACCTGATGGATTATATGTATTCTCCTGTCAAACAGATTTTAATTCACAATTTTTTATCTCAGCCATGTACAACTACACAATATACTTTCATTATATATCAAATTGGCATGAAATATTCCCTCAAACTGCTTTAGCATTTGAGACTCAGAGACTAGTGTTTCATACACATGGACGTGTATGTGAATTACAATCTTCGGACATTACTATATTTTATATTGATTCTATTCTATATGCATATTCGAAGCTGTGTTGTCAAGTAAAAATGAATATCATCTATTGTGTCACATATGGATTTCAACTACATTATGTTTTTGTGGGTTTTTTTGTCGGAACGAACTGCACATAATAACCATATCCTGGTAGGAGATTCTGATTGTTGCAGACAACCATATGTCGAAAAATGAGCATATACCCGGATATATACTCGTATATCCGAATATTGCATGAAGTAAAATTTATCATGAATCAGGTAGGGAGCAGATATGTGTATGTAGAGTTTGAGGCGGGTGATTAGACGAACAACTAGTCTCGGAAATGAACATATTTTACAGAAAAAACCCAGCTCATAATAAAAACGCCTGTCTGAGGGTCGGTAACCAGGCAATCGCACACCCACGTTTGCACATTAGGCTCTCGTAGCTTTGATCGGCTCCGTGGCCTAATGAAAACGAACCATGTGCCAGGCAGGGACCAACAAGTCAATATTTTAACGCCTTTTGGTATGACGCGGCCGGGGAACGACGCTCGCTCCAACCTGTAGTGTTTAAAACACACATGGTGTTGATGAGAGAAAAAATGAATATATACTGAGTCAAAAAAGAAACTTCACAAAATGTAATTTGAGAAATAATGAATAATCTTTCTCTGATGATACATCTATGTATCCGAAATGGGATCCCTATATGTCGACTCTAGCAAAACCCACTCAAACCCATCCATTCGTCGTGCAAATGACGTTAGTGCCAAATCAGGTTTTGCACGTGCAGTCGATCACGTGATCTTTGCATCGAAGTTTTCTTCAGATGCACGTGTTTGCATTGGCCTCAAGAATTGAAAAAAACACTTTTAAACCACAGTTCTAACGGTACTTGAAATGCCACGATTGTCAAATGTGCAACGTGAATGTGCCGTTGGCATGTTGCAAGCGGGAAGATCAGTTATTGACGTCGCAAGAGCAATGGGATGCAGCCGTCGTACTGTGTATGACTTGTGAGGTCGTCTACAACAAACTGGCACCAATTCTGATCGCCCAAGGTCGGGTCGTCCACGTTTGACGTCACGAGCAGAAGACCGGCTACAGGAACCAGGGCTGAGATGTTTAGAGGTCGACTGTCCTCACAGACCATTCGCAATCGGTTGCGGGTTGCCAATCTCCATTCTCGACGTCCATATCGTGGGCCAATATTGACGCCGTTTCATCAACGTCAGCGTCTGCTGTGGGCCCAACGTCACCTCCAATGGACCCAGAGAGACTGGAATCGAGTCGTCTTTAGCGATGAATCCAGGTTTACCCTCAGATTCGCGGACGGTAGGCATAGAGTCTGGAGACGACGTCGTGAACGGTGTGCCCAATGTTGTGTACAGGAAGTCGACAGATTCGGGGGCGGAAGTTGCATGGTGTGGGGTGCTTTCTGCGGGAACAACCGTTCCTGACTCTGGTCATCCGTGGAAACCTCACAGCTGTTGCTTACCGCGACCAGGTGCTCACCCCTGAACTCGTTCCTTTCATGGCGGCTCATGGCCCAGGTCTACAGTTCCAGAGTGATAAAGCTCGGCCGCATACCGCGATGTTGACACGAAATTTCCTTCAAAACGCTAGAATCAACGTCATGGACTGGCCATCGAGGTCCCCTGACCTTAATCCAATAGAGCACGTTTGGGATGCACTTGGGAGAAGGCTTCGTGGTCTTAGGAACCGACCTCAGAATTTGCAGGAACTTGGCGCTGCCTTGCAAGAGCAATGGCGCAGAATCCCCAACCACGTGTTCACAAGCATCAGGCAGTCGATGAGGAGACGGTGTTTGGCAGTGGTGAATGCGCGGGGCGGCCATACACAATACTGAACTGAGAAATTTCGCATTTTTATTCTTGTGACTTGACATTCTGTATACCCATGTTTTGGAACGGCGGTGTAGCCTAATGGAACTGATTATGGCACTGTCAGTGTATCGAGTACATCACACAGATCTCAGCAATGAAATAATAACAATTTCACCATCTTACCATCTCTTGTTCTTTTATAGTGCCCTGAAGAAAGAATGTGAAGTTTCTTTTTTGACTCAGTATATAAGTTACAGAAAAACTGGTTTCGATAATCATATACTACTGGAACAAAGTAACTGCATTATTTGATGGTATGCCATTTTTTAATTGAAAAAGATCACATGATTTGTGGTGTTTTCCTTAATTGTTGACAGAATAATATCGAAATCTGTATGATTTAACACTAGGCATCGCGACACGCACTCTCCGGCGCATCAATGACTTAGCATAAAATCACTGCCACAGGCTCATATGCATATCACGTGACCGGACTTTTCTCTTGTTTGTCAACAAACGTGCATATTCGTATATAAGAAGAGACTGGCCCAACGTAAGCGATTCGGCGCGGTCTTCATAATGTTTTACATTGTTACATAATTATTCTTCTACAAATGCGACTGTAAGGTTTATGAAAATACATATTTATATATCACACGGGCTGGGTCGTTTGCTCTCCATAAGGCTTCAATGACAGGACGTGGAGCGGTACAACCCATATAAACAAGGATCGCACCGAAATTAAAATAGTGTTACACGTTTAAGGATATTTCTCAGTGAAACTAAAACATTCTAACAATGATGTTTAATTAGATGTGTAGACTCATCAAAAATAAAAAAAAGGTTAAGAACATATTCATTATATTGAATGGAATTGCTCGTCGTACCTCTCGACATGGTATTATCTCCTTATAAAAAATTGAAACCTTTACAGTATATTATCATCATGTAGAGATTGATCGAGAAAGGGTTGTTCAATCGCGTTGGGGGGTGGACTTTGATGTGCTCGATATTTATTCAGCCCTACGTCAATTTCAATGCGTAGGGCATGGGCATGCTGGTCCTGGATTTGGGACTAGCGATAACCACCAAAGATATGCTCATCAAGCAAGGCATCATTCCGGAAAACAAAGTAAAGAACCACTATAAAACACAAAAAATGGCCACGATTGCCCAATGGTCGGTGGGGCTTTAGTCAACCCCTTCACTTTTTCGGGTAGCAATTACCTTTTTTCTACATTACGAACATCCAAAGCGGAACAGAAATGCCACGATTTAGCCGTGGAGAAATTACAAGCCGTGCAAGCCTACTACGCGAAAAAACAAATGCAAAGAATGGATTTTATTCACGATCAACTCCAACGAGAAGGTCACGCCATACGAACGTTTCAGGACGTAAACGAGGCCATGCACGAGTATTATCTCGTCACGGGAAAACAACGGGAACCCCTCGGAGATGAGCCCAACCTATCGGAATACTACACACCTTCCCTGAATCAGAAAAAACGCGAGTTGATCTTCGTGGTGTTAGGTCTCGCTACGATGGTCTTAATCGCCAAACAATTACATTAAAAAATATATTTATGTGAATATATATGTAACAAAGATGAGACCCGCTCCTTATCGTTGCAAATTCGTGCTTCTGGGTAAAGTCCAGACCTGTGGCACGAAATGCACGGCCGAATATTGAGATATTCAAGGGTTATTCCGAAAAAAGGACCAACTGTTACTGTACCAACATTACTGGAAGACAGCAAACCGATCTCATTAT